TAAAGGTCATTTGTGCAATGGACTGAACCTTCTCAGGGGCCAAGTATCTAAGGGTATGTCTACACTGCATCCCTAGTTCGAACTAGGGATGCAAATGGAGACAATCAAACTAGTTAATGAAGCGGGGATTTAAATATCCCGCGCTCTATTAACATGATCTCGCCGGCGCGCTAGTTCGAATCACAGCTGATTCGAACCAGGAAGTGCGCGCCGGGACGCGTTAGTTCGGACTAAAGCTCTTAGTCCGAACTAATGTTACTCCTAATGAGTAACTAGCGCGCCGGCGAGATCATGTTAATAGAGCGCGGGATATTTAAATCCCCGCTTCATTAACTAGTTCGATTGTCTCCATTTGCATCCCTAGTTCGAACTAGGGATGCAGTGTAGACATACCCTAAGAACCACCCCGAATTCCTCATTACTGATCACCTAAAATGCTAGGCACACTTATTTCACCTTGCTTTCACTAATAGCTGGGTGTGTATGTAAAACAGCATGCTAAAGACAAGTTTCCTCTGTCGAGATAAGAAAACAGAACAAATCACACATGACAGATGTTAAGACTTATTGCTTAGAGCGCTACAGGAAAGTGCTCCAACGTCATGGTTATGAAAATGGTGTCAGAGCGTTAATAGAATAGAATAATGGTTCCATAATTTAGATTGATTTCCATTTTAAGCCCTGGTCTTTTGTGTTTGACATTTTGGTCATTTCTAATTATGTTACATTCAAATCTTATAACAACATTTAAAAATAATGGTTGACTCTGATGTTTTTTGAAGTTTTAAACGTGTTAGCTTTCTAATTTCAGTTTCTTATAAATAAAAATAGTGTAATTGAAAAAAGATAGTCCAGCAGCAAATTCCTTATGTTTGCTGAGCCATTTCATCTCATTGCAGGACATATTTTAAATCAGTTATGACATTTAGAGCTTGAAAGACTGATTGTGGTACATGCTCACTTTTTTTTCCCCAAGTGTTTTGTTATGAAGCAAATGAAACCTTTTGCTTTACTTTGTGACTTAAGACTTGCATTCATTATGTCTAGCAGGTGACATATGAAATAAGCTATTACCTTAGCAATATGATGTAGTGTGAATGAGAATTAGGAGTTTGGGTAGAGCAGGTGGAAAAACTGATGAAACTGCAGTTGGACAATGCAGCTCTATCTAAACTGCAATGCTTCACAAAATTGTATTTTTTCCACAACTTTTTTATATCAGAAGAAAATAAGGGGAAAATTCTGACATTATCAAAATGAAACATTTAAATGTTTAAATTACCTCATGTTTCATATTTTTTCTATTATACTTATTATAAAATAAAGTCAGAATTGAAATGAAATAAACAAGGAGCAGTTTTTTCCTGTCTGGTGACGAGTGGAGACAGACAAGAGGGTCAGTTAATTGTTTTGATTGTTTAATTTTGTTTGCCGGTCATTTTTATTTCTACTGTATTTCTAAGCACACAGCACAGTTGCAAATTTTTCTGGTTTGGTTTCATCTAATCTGGTTTTGGTGTCTTGTCATGTCATAGCAATCTAAATTAAAACATCCATTATAATATTTTAGATTGAGATCTCTGTTTTAATTAAAATCAGCCCAGAAATATTACTTGAATTATACACTGTAAACACTGAGTTGAAAACCAATCCCATAACAATTATGCAAACATACGGTAGCTTTAAATCCTCTATATTAATGAGCTTCATGTGCATAAATAGTCAGTGTCTCACTCTATCAGTCTTGATTTTATACATTATTTTTATTCAGTCCATTTAACATTGCACTTGTCCTTTTTCTGCCAAGTGTCCTTTAATCTGTTTCTGTAAATACTTGGCTCTGGAAGGAATGTCATCATTAGTCTCTGATAATCCATTACTAATTTTACAGTACAGTAGATAACATATAACATTTGGAAACTTAAGTATCCTGAAGAGTAGTCATGCACAACCAATGAGCTGGATATAGATGTAGCAATGACAAGATGTATACAGTAGTAATTTTATGGTACAACCATTCTTAAAAGTATGCAATTTTGTAAAATGGGTGTGTTTTATATATTTTACATTTAAGTATCACCACCAAAAATGACATAATTCAAACCAGGGCCATCACCAAAACCTGAGATGGGTTGGATAGTAGAATAATCTGTCCAGTGAGCTTTTGACCACTTTTAGACTCGTCCCTATAATTTGATTTTCACAGGTAGACTCACATCCATTTGGAAGCCTAAAGACTTCAACAATGTAAGAATCTATCTGAAAGGTTCTGTTTGTAGATAAAGATTATAATTGGGATATGTTAGGGTTTTTTCTAAGATTTATTTAGTCTGGGGGATATGTGTATTAATTTCAAGAGCGAGTCAAATAATAGGAAATAAATAAGGGCTAAACTGAACATGTGAATTACAACTGTTGTTTTCTCCTGAGGAGAAAATAATCTCCCGTATCATATTACTCATAGATAGAAGGCATTGTATATGCAATTATGGCAATGTTACCAACATAGTGTCAATGTACGCATGTTTTTTTCCTCAGCTGAACATCTGAAATTTCTTCAACCTTCTGTTCCTGAAATTTATTAGCCAGTAGTTCTTAAACCCTTAGGGTTTTTTTCAAAATGAAGGAAAGAAAAGCAATTAATAGTGAAATGACATACTCAGCAGCTCTTCAGAGTAAAGCCTTTTATGCAGAAGGAAATTTCCTGGCACATCTGCTAGCTACTGTCAGGCACATGATGAGAAATTGCCCCTGGTTATTAAAATATATTTATTCACTTTTGTGACCCTGTTGTGCATAATTATTATGACATAAGTATCAATTAAAATGTAGCCATTTTAATTACATTAATTACATTATTTGAGTTTAAAGAAAATGTCTTCTCTATGCTCCTTAAAGGGATGTAGTAGCAGCTTCCATTCTAAACATTTTTCAGTTACTTAAACTTTCTCAAATTCATTTTTGGTCACTATTTTTCATGCTTATCATACCCCCAAAATGATATTTTTCAGCAAAATACAAGACTTTTTTTTTTTTTTTGAATTATTGAAACAATTGAACTTTTTGAATTTTTGGAACTTCTTTGTCTATAAATTTGCTGCTTTAACCTTGTAATAATTCATTTCTTTTACCTAGTTAATGAATCTTTGGCTAGTTTATTGTAGGATTAGAACTTTTAGAATTTTTTTCCTAGTTAACTTTGGCTAGTTTATTGTAGGATTAGAACTTTTAGAATTTTTAGATAACTCAGGTAAAACAAAAGCAAGAAGGTCAGATTAATACCTCATATACTATACATAGGGATAGCAGCATGGTCTCCTATGTTGTTATCTTGGTATTAGGTACGGCAACCATATGTAACCAAGATGGACTGAGACTATTGACAAAGGAGAGCAAAGTCTTCTCTACAACCTTATCTGAAAGCCAGTTGTCTTCTAGCTTATGGAGTGGGACTCATGGCTTTAATCCATAAGTTATAGGTTCAATCCCATGTGCTGATGACCAATATTTGTCATCTTTACATATAAATCAGGATCAATTTGAAACATGGCCTGTTTAATGGAGCTCACTGGGCTCTGGTCTACTTTGAAATAACTTCCCTTATTTTGAAATAACAAGCAGAGCATCCACACTACCAACTCCATTATTTCAACATAAGGGACTGGTTATTTTGAAATAACAATGCCTACTTTTCACAAGGAATAACACTTATTTTGCAATAGTTATTTTGAAATAGCGGAAGTGTGTATGCTCCATTGCTGCTATTTTGAAATAACTGCTCCCCAGAGTCATTCAAAGTAATTACTGGCTCTAAGTTGAGGTAGTATCCACATTTTAAGGGAGCCTGCCTTGGACTGATTTTGAGACTTCCCTATAGTATGGACACTATTTTGAAATAGTTATTTCAGGAGTTATTTCAAAATAAGTTATTTCAAAATTTCCTGGTGTAGACATGCCCTGGATGTGCTGTACACTCCATGTAAGTTTTATTTTTTAAACTCATCTTCCTTCTATCTCATGATCTTTCACTATTGCTGGAAAATACGTTTTGATTTTTTAAGTCTTCTATGAGCCTTTTCTGGTTTGTAATCTATATGCTGTGTAGCTCCACATATAGTCTCACACAATATGCTCTTTTTCTCCTAGATTATTCCAAATTGATCTCCTCCCTGTGCTTCCTTCCTCTCTCTAACACACATAGTCCACAATATTGAAATATTACGATGTAGTTATAATCAATTTTTGTCTAAAATGACACCTTCTTATAGGACTCAGGGCATGTCTACACTAGGAAATTATTTCAATCCGAACTGTCACTTTAAACAAGACAAGTATCGCAAATCACTTTATACCCTTTTTGGAAGATAATTCCACCAGAGGGATATGGAATTTCTCTAGTTTTCCAGCCTGCAACTTGATCCTGGCCATTGAATTTTAAAAAAAATAGGATGCTGTCTTGCTTTTGATCACAGGATTTTGATCTGAGTTTAAAGATTATTTGTTTTTAATTTTTACACAGTCCTTAACCACAACATGATTATTATTGTCTCATCAGACCAATATCCTAGTAGTCAAACATATTTAATTCTCAACATGTGTAGGTGATGAAAAGAAATTCTCATTCTGCTAATCAAGTACACTGTGCCTGTAAGGGCCCCACAATGCCAACTATCATGTAACAGCAACTCCTATCCTACCTGCAAAATTCACTACACTTAACACATTGCTCTCAGTTTTCATCCATGAAGAATGCTGTGTAACATATCAATTGAAAACAGATATCATATTGAGCTTTCTAATTATTGTGTGGCATGGTCTTCCTAGGTGAAGGAATGCTGTTTTACCCGTCTGTCTAGTTCTTGAATGTATATAGAACCCTATAAAAGCCTCCTTTTGTTTCATTACTTTTAAAGCTATGCACATTTAAAGAAAAGACATCCAAGCATGCATTTTGTCTGATCATTTTTTAAAAACACATTTTTGTCTGTTAATTTTTGCAGGGTGGTGCCAGAGAAAACTCCCATGTAAGCTCAATAAGGCTAGCATTTCATCCTGAGAGCTTGCATAGGATACAAGGCTGGAGTGTTGAGTTACTGGATATTAGATGCTTACATCTTAAAGCAGGGTAAGTATTTATGAGTCATGAACTGGGGCAAAAACATCCCTCTACAAAGAGGCTGTAGGAACATCTAAACTTGGGGAGTCAAGCTTAAGCTACACTCAGCTTGCGCTCTGTACTGAATATATAATCATCTTTTGAGGAGTACAGGAGCTGCCGAAAAAGCTCCCCGCTGTCGGCAGAGCAGCGACTACACTTTACTTTCACTTTTGACACTGAACAGTGACTACACTTTACTTTCACTTTTGACACTGAACCTGGTCAGCACAGCATCAGAACGTGAGTATGCAAATGAAGCTCGGAATATTTAAATCCTGGGCTCATTTGCACTTCCAAAGTGCTTGATTTGCATTCCTCTGTTGGCAGAGGGATGCAGTCTAGACACAGCCTAGGTAGCATGAAGAGCCACAGTGAACTGGTTCCTAGAGATTGTAGCTTTCTGACATAATGCAGCTCCAACTGATATTAATAGAATTTCATTTACCTCACTGGGAACTTGACCAGATCCTTGAAAAACAAATCTACTTAGTTAGACCATCTAGCTGCCATTCTTTAGGTCAGTTCACTGTTCATCAAAAATTTGAGAACCAATTGACAATTAAAAAAGCTTGATCATAGAAGCCAATGGAAAGGTTGAAAATTAATATTTTTAATAGGAGGATTTATTTTGTGAAAGGGTATGTCTACACTACCACCCTAGTTCGAGCTAGGGTAGTAATGTAGTCAACCGGAGTTGCAAATGAAGCCCGGGATTTGAATTTCCCGGGCTTCATTTGCATGTTGCCGGGCGCCGCCATTTTTAAATGTCCGCTAGTTCGGACTCCGTGCCCCGCGGCTACACGCGGCAAATCGACTTTAGTTTTAGAGTTTCAATCGAGCACTTTAATTTAAAATTCATTGATTATTACTTTGTATATCAGGGATCAAACTGGCATTTAATCACTGACTGTGCTCTGTCCAAATGGGCATACATCCCTTGCCTTTCATCTCTTAGGGTATGTCTACACTACCACCCTAGTTCGAACTAGGGTGGTAGTGTAGACATACCCTAAGAGATGAAAGGCAAGGGATGTATGCCCATTTGGACAGAGCACAGTCAGTGATTAAATGCCAGTTTGATCCCTGATATACAAAGTAATAATCAATGAATTTTAAATTAAAGTGCTCGATTGAAACTCTAAAACTAAAGTCGATTACAAATACAACTGATAAAACGTAGATCTTTAATTAGACAATCACTTTTCAAAAGATTTTGGTTGTGAATATTTAGGAGACGTATCAAACTACAACGAGTTGTTTATAAAGCGTAAGATTTCCAGAATGAAATGAAACACACTTTTTATTTTTAGCACACATGCAGTCTCTTTCTCTAGTTCTCAGCCTCACCCCAAGAACATGACAAGTGCAATCTTAATTAAATTAAATGGACATTTAATGTGCAGACATGCAATAAATGTGATATTTGGTGATAAGAAATTCCAGCTAATGTGAAATGTCTATGTGTATTGAACACAGTGTAAAATTTGCCATTTGGGGATTAACCTTTGTGTTGTTTTCTCACTTCATATGAAAGCTTTAAAATGCTTCTTTTCAGACACAATATTTTAGTCTCCATTTTAAAAATGCCATCTATGAAGAAGTCCATGTGTACCTTCTCTCTTTTGAATTCCTCACTGACTATTTTAAAATACTCTCATCCTTCAGTCACATCTCAGATGTGTCTTCAAGCCTTAACTTTTGTATAGGGCTGACTGTGCTCTATCCAAATGGGCACAGTGCTTTTTGTCTTTCAAATTATCATTAAGGAATATTTTAGTATTTCATTATAAGTAGCTACTTTTATTGAACTGATGGCTTTAAACATGTTTTCCTATAATTGGTGAACAGCAAGAAAACTATTGGAAGGTTATTGATCCCATTACAAATTGGTACTATAACGGAATACTGTATATTTAAAAATGTCTATAAATAATGTACAGTATTCACATTGCTGTTTTATAGTCGCTCCTTAATTGAGTTCTAAACTGGCTAATTAGGCAGATTATACATAGCTATGGATTAAAAATATCTGGCCAAATTAAATCAATTGCAAGATGCTAGCGCAGAGCATGGCACGGATTTCCTGGACAGTCGGTCCAGGAGGGAAAGTTGCAAGGATGCAGGCAAGTCACAGTGCTCCTCTCCTTTCTGTGGGGGCAATCACATTGCCAAAGTGACAAGGGGTCACCTGGGAAAATGTTGTTTCAAATGAGTCTTGTTTTAAGCTCTGCCAGTAGAAATCATTTACAGCCATCAGCAGTCCTTGTGCAGTGGGACCTCCGAAGCAGGTCTTCCCCAAACCCAGATCATGGCAAGCCTTATTGGTGCAGGTGCAGTTGTGCCAGCTTTTGCCTGCAGGTTGTAGACTAACTTGGGATGCGTAAAAGTGCACAGTTATTTGAACATTACTCATTATGGGTATGTCTACACTGCATTCCTCTTTCGAGAAAGGAATGCAAATGCAGCCAGGCGAAATTACAAATGAAAGCGCGGATTTCAATTTCCAGTGCTTCATTTGCATAATCGCATCCGGCCTCTATTTCGAAATACCCTATTACGAGATAAAAAACACCAAGTAGACACGGTTATTTTGAAAGAAGGGATTTACTGGAAATTAACCGTGTCTACTTGGTGTTTTTTATCTCGTAATAGGGTATTTCGAAATAGAGGCCGGATGCGATTATGCAAATGAAGCACTGGAAATTGAAATCCGCGCTTTCATTTGTAATTTCGCCTGGCTGCATTTGCATTCCTATCTCGAAAAAGGAATGCATTGGAGACATACCCTATCTGACCACTGAACAGACAGTAGCTTAGTTCTTCAGGTTACAGCTCTGAGAGGGTGCATGTTTATACAGCTGCATTATTTTGAAATAGCAAGGTGAGCATCTACACAGCAAGCCCGTTATTTCAAAATAATATTGAAATAAGGGGCTTCTTATTCCTCATTTTATGAGGAATAATGCCTATTTTGAAATAGTTATTTGAAATAGGGTGTGTGTAGACAGCGCAGCTGTGGTTATTTTGAAATAAATAACCTCCTGGGTTTCCCACAGTGGCCACTCTGTCCACACTCATCAGACCTTTATGGTTCCCCTTCCCCTGCAGCCCTTTAAGCTGCAGCCAAAGGGGAAAGGGCTTGTGGCACAAAGCAGGCCCTGCTTGCACTGTGCCACACAGCAGAGCCTTGACTGTTTTCATTGCTGCCATGGCAGATCTCCATGCTCCCTCAGAGCTCCCCAGGGCTGCAAGGGAGCAGGCAGCCACCTCCTAATCCCCTTTCTCCCCCTTCCTCCCCTCCCCCGCCCGGGGGCAAAAGAGGAGGGCGCCCTCGTGGACTGACGTGGAGATCCTGGATCTCATTGAGATCTGGGAGGAACATGAGAAAATGAGAGCAGTGTGGGTAGGAAATAAGTTTCTTAACACATGTTCCATGTCTAATACAAATATTCTGCAAAGTTTCCCTGATTTTCCAGTGAGCCCTATATACTCACTAGCATGTAGTGAGCACCACAGGCTTTTGAACAAGAAAGCCCAACACTCAGAGTAGTGATCACTTTTTGAATTTAAATGCAATCCAGGATCTACTTCAGACCCAAATACACTTGCCCCACGTCCTTTCCCAAGTCTTCTTGGCTCTGCCCCTTCTCTGAGGTCCTACCTGGCTCACTCCATCCCTCCTCCACTTTCAGCAGGCTGGCGCTGGGGAGGTTGGAGTGCAGGAGGGTGTAAGCTCTGGTCTTGGGCTGAAGGGTTCAGAGTGTGGGAGGGGCTCCAGCCAGGGGCAGTGGGTTGGGGTCCAGGAGGAGGTTTAGAGCTGGGGCGGGTGTTCAGGATAGAGGCCCAGGAGGGTACTACTTACCTCTGACAGTGGTGCAGTGGGGCTAAGGCAGGCTCACCCTCACCCTGGCCTTGCACCACTCCTGAAAGCAGCCGGCATGTTCAGCAGTAGCTCCTTGGGGAAGAGGGGCAGGTGGCTCTAACTGCTGCCTACCATCCAGAGGCACCACGCTACGGGCTCTATTGGACATGGTTCCTTGTTCCCAGCCAATGGAACCTGCGGGGTCTGTGCCTGTAGACAAGGGTAGCATTGGAGACTGCCTACCCTGCCAGCCCCAGGGGCCACAGGGACATGCCAACCACTTCCAGTGGTGCAGGGTCAAGGCAGGGAGGATTCTGCCTTAGCTCTGCAATGCTGCTGGCCTATTAGTAGCCAATCTCATGATTTGACCACGGGAGCTTCCAGGAGTTTGAGTCCAATTCCAGGAGACACAGATGGACAAAATTAGAGGGAATTAATTTTTTGTTATGTGCACCATTATCAAGGTGCAGGTTGAACTTCTCTAGTTCAGAGAATTTGCTGACCCATGGAAGGTCAGTATTTTCTAGCTTCATTATAATACTTCAACTGCTTACTAGGCTCTTAGAAGACATTTGGGGGAATATTAGAGCTAAATTACAGCACAGAACACTGAGCGCCAGGACTGGTGCTGTAAACAAACTTTATGGGATCACGGCCACACCCATGATAAATGGACATTGACTAACTAAAATCATGCTGGACCATGGATGTTGGTGGACCAGAGAGTGCTGGATTATCAAGGTTCAACCTGTAATATGCAGATGTTATAAAAAACATATATATTAAGGCTGTTAGCTATCATATAATTGAATAGTTATGTAAGTGCATGAAATATTGCTTGTTACACGACTATTTGATAGTCCCCAGCATCAGTATCAGAGGCAGCATCATGAGGTGGCCAAGGGAGTCAGTCTGCAAGGGGAGACAGTTTGAAAATCAGCTCCTCATGCAGACCGGCTGCCTGATACAGAGGCAGCAGCCCCTGTCTGTGAGGGTCCGAGCTGCTCAAAGGCAGAGGTAGAGCAAAAGCAGGGATGGTCAGATCCCCCGTGGACAGGGGCTGCTGCTGCAAAGCAGACTCCTCTGCCCCTTCCCCCCAGCATGGGTAGGCAGGCGGGGGCAGGGCAGCCGGCACCATGGAACCAGTGCTAGGGGGAAGCTGGCTTTTAAGCTGGCTCTCCCTAGCACCGGCTCCTGCTTCCCCCCTCTTGCTGCCTCTGATACAGAGAGTACTCATTGACATCTCTAATATATACCATAGGGATAATTATTCCATTCACGACAGGTTAGACATTTTAGAACTCACTATTCAAAGAAATAAATTTAAGCATAAGAATGACAAAAGTATTTAGTGAATGGAGAGAGTTTTCAGTGAGTGAAAAAGTTAAAGATGGGCTTCCACTTTACAATCACACATAACTATTTTGAGACTGCAAATCTTAAACTCTGACATCAGTGGGATTTTTTGTGTGTGCTCATTCTGTGCAACTCTAAAATTCAGTTTTGCGCCTTATATATTCTAATTTTTGCATTTCTGAGCTGTGTGTTGCATATCCCACTTTTCTATGATTTTTTTTGTAATGCTAAGAGCAGTTATATTGAATATCTCTGATATGGGATCCTTGCTACATAGAAATAGTGCCTTGATGTGAAGATAACTGTACCTCAGTTGTAGTAAAAAAATCTTCAAAAGGGTTTTTTATTATTTTTAGCCCCTTAAATCAGATAATTCTCATCCCTTCAAAACCACTGTGAAGTAACTACAAGTAAGGAACATGTTAAAGACAAGAGAAAGAAAAAAGTACAGAAAATTCCAGTTGTTACAGCAGCTGAAAAGTCCTGATTCTTATAGGAGCACTAATTACCTGATCTGCAGTCCTTAGGCAAAATATATATATATATATTAAATCGATGGTCCAAATGTAGGCTCTTCGTTCATTAGCATTCGTGGCCTAAAAGGTAACAAAGCCAGTTCATTGCTGTTGTCTATGTCCAGCTCTCCATTCAAGAGCTGCATCCATTGAAATGGCTTGGGAGTATCCCAGGGAAGGTAGATTTGCTGGTTAATCTTTGCATTAAAACATAATGGGTGCGACTAGACTGGTAAGATTTTGGACAAAAGCTACCGCTTTTGCGCAAAAACTTGCCAGCTGTCTACACTGGCCACTTGAATTTGCGCAAGAGCACTGACATTCTAATGTAAGAATTCAGTGCTTCTTGCGCAAATACTTTGACATTCCCGCTCAGGGATAAGCCCTCTTATACAAGAATACTTGCGCAAGAGGACCAGTGTAGTCAGGCACCTTCATTTTTTGCGTAAGAAAGCCCGATGGCTAAAATGGCCATCTGCGCTTTCTTGCACAAAAGTGCATCAATACTGGGCATTATGCTTTTGCGCAAAAGCACTTTTTGCTCAAAAGCATCCGTGCCAATCTAGATGCTCTTTTGCGTTAAAAAAATTTCCGCAAAATCATGCCAGTCTAGACACAGCCATTGAGTGTAACGTGTAATGAAATTAATGACTAATACTCAAATATCTGTGAGAAATATTTATTCTGAATAAAGAATAAGTGAGTCAATGCTGTTTTGAAAATAAGTAGATATACCGCCAAAAGAAATAAAATGAAAGAGGAAAGCAGGACAAGGGCAGTCACAGATTCTGTCTAAAATTCCCTGAGTTGGAAGTAAGATTCTATTGAGAACCCAGGGGGAGTTTCCTGTGTATGCTATGCAAAGGTTGGAGTGAGTACCTGGCATTTGGTTAACCAGAAAGGAAGCAACTTTTGAAAAGGAGAGCAAACCTGGCTGAGTGAAACCCCCAGGGAATAAGCAGAATTAGTCAAGTGGAAGGAAAGGAGAAAGCATGATGTAGATTGGAAGATCTAAGAAGACAACTGTTTTGTTTAATGTTTCCTGCTGTGTGGCTTCAAATCTGCTGATTTGGACACAGTCCCTTAAAATCCCCCATGTGACGGGGCAGCCCCGCCCTGCACCATGAACAACGCCGAACAGGCTCTGCTCGGCGTTCGGGGGGAGGAGTCAGCCCGAGATTGCGTGGCTTGCACGCAGGCTGCGCCAGAGTGGAAGGCGCCGGCCGTCGCGCCGGTTCGCTGCCGGAGCGCGGCGGTAGAGGAAGGGCTAGGGCGGGAGGAGTTCCTCCACCCTGACAGGCCCGGACGGCAGCCAATCCGCGAAGAGGGACGGCCGCACCCCTGCCTAGGCCGGTGACGTCAGGAGGGGCGGCTACGGCGGGACGTTTAAAACGCCGCCACCATGGTCGGGGGGGGGCGGAAGAGAGAGAGAGAGCGGGTGCGGCGCTGTGGGAGGGTGAGATCCGGGGCGACCCCCAGGGGACTGACGGAAGTCCCAGCCGCGGACATAATAAACCCCTCCCCTTTTTCCCAGCGCAGGAGGGGTTGTGATAGTGCTGGCAGCCTGTCGGCCCGGAGTAAGGTAAACACCCCGGCCGGGGAATGCTGGGGGAGGGGAAAGGAAGCAGCCCAGGGCAGAGCCCATATGGGCTGGTGGGCTGGCGCGTTACGGCAGGACGCCCCGCCAGCTGGACAGGAGCGAGGCAGTTCCGTGTCCTTAGGGCCCTGGGCTGGGGCCCGTGAGTGACTTCCCAGCGTAGGAGGGGTTGTGACAGTGCCGGCAGCCTGTCGGCCCGGAGTAAGGTAAACACCCCGGCCGGGGAATGCTGGGGGAGGGGAAAGGAAGCAGCCCAGGGCAGAGCCCATATGGGCTGGTGGGCTGGCGCGTTACGGCAGGACGCCCCGCCAGCTGGACAGGAGCGAGGCAGTTCCGTGTCCTTAGGGCCCTGGGCTGGGGCCCGTGAGTGAGGGTGGGCCTCGGCCTCTCTTTCCCCCCACCCCTCAATTGGAGGCAGAGCCGCACCAAGGAAAAAAAATACCCGAGTGCCCCACAATGAGGGCTTGCAGGCAGCCGTAGCGCCGCCTTCACCCCCCCCGAAGGTCGGAGGGGGGGGGAACAGAAGGTACCGGACGAAAGGGACTGGTACAGACTGGTACAGATGGTGGAGAATGTGGGCACCTTGAAGAGGGGTCCCCACCCCTGGTAAAGAGGGGTGAATGCTCACAAAGGGGAGTAGATTCACGTGCATTTCTCCCAGTAGAAGTCGAAAGCGGGGGTGAGCCGAGCGCGTCGGCGCCTCCAAGACAGGGACGGTGAAATGGATCCCGCCCAGGTGCTGGAATGGATGAAAGAAACCCAACGGGAGAGCCAGCAGCAGCAGACCGTGCTGATCCAGCAGCTGTCCACACAACATCAAGAGCAGCAAAGGCAGCTGATAAAAGAGCTGGCCGAACAATTTAGGGAGCAAGTCCGGATGTCGGTGCCCCTGAGGCTGGGCACCGCCGCCCAGGAGGAGGACCCCGATGAGGATGGGGGGGCCGTACCACGCCCGAGTATCAGACTAACAAAAATGGGGGCCGACGACGATCCGGAGGCATATTTGATAACGTTCGAGCGGGTGGCCACCGCAGCTAGGTGGCTGGAGACCCACTGGGCCACCATTTTGGCCCCTTATCTGACTGGCCAGGCCCAGCTGGTCTACCGGAGTTTGAGCGACAGAGACGCGCTACACTACTATAAGCTGAAAGAAGCTATTTTGGACCAGATGGGTATTACCCCCGAAATGTATTGGCAAAAGTTTAGGGGTGAGCACTACAATCCAGGGACCCGGCCCTGGGTCGTAGCCCAGCGGTTGAGAGAGGCCGCTTGGAGATGGCTGGACCCCGAACAACGCACCGGGCAGTAAGTGGCCGAGCTGGTGGTTCTGGAGCAATTTATCAACATCCTGCCTAGTGGGGGCTCCCACTGGGTACGACGACACCACCCCTCCACGTTGAGCGAAGCGGTCGAATTAATGAATGACTACGAAGCCACCAAGGGGTGGGAGAGAGGCAACAGGACGGAACAGCCACCGCCACCCAGGAAAGCTGAACCGGGGAGAAGCCCCCGCGCTAAGGGGAGCCCCGAGAGGAGCGATAGGTGGGGGACCGGAAGAGGCATAGCACGACGACCATTGGCACCGGCATGGTCCCTCCCGTCCAAGGAAGGACCCCGAGAGACAGTCGGCCATTCGCCCGAGGCCGGGGCGAACCCCCCGAAACCCGCTGCGCCCAGGTGGCCATTCTTTCGGTGCAGGCAGGAAGGACACCTCATCAAAGACTGCCCCTTTATGGACTGCTCTTATGCCCAGGTGTTAGCGGGGGATGGGACACCCGCCAAAGAAGGTAAGATAATGCGCGTGGTCATGATTGGGGATGAACAAGTGACCGCCCTCTTGGACTCGGGCTGTAGCCAGACTATAGTGCGGGCTGACCTAGTCCACCCAAGAGGTCCACGGGGCCCCCCGTGCAGGTGCAGTGTGTACCCGGGGACATACACCAATATGCCACCGCATGGGTTCAGATCCGTGACGGTAATCAAGACAGCTGGTGTTACGTGGTCTTAGGACCCCAGCTAGCCTATCCGGCCTTGCTGGGCCGCGACTGGACCGGCTTCCGCAGGGCGGGGGGAGAATGGCAAGCTAGCGGGGCCCCGGCAGAGGTGGGGGACCAACTGGGAGCCCTCGGGGAACCGCCAGGGGACGAAGCCTCGTCTACCCCTCGGTCTGAAGGCCCAAACACCCAGACTATGAACCCCCTTGAACTCGACGACGGTGACTTCCTCCAGGAACAACGGGAAGTCCCCACGTTGCGCCATGCTTGGGCCACGGCGCGAGAGGAGACCGAGGAGGAAGGGGCAACGGCGGAAGGACCGGTGGGCCCGCGCTTTGAGGTACACGCTGACCGCTTATATAGGGTAGATGAAGGGGGGGAGGAGCAGACACCCCGGCGGCAACTTCTCGTGCCCTGCCGGTACCGGCACTGCCTTATGGAGGTGGCCCATGCCAACCCCTGGGCGGGTCACCTGGGGCAGGAAAAAACAGTAAAGCGACTATTACATCGCTTCTACTGGCCCGGGGTGTATCGCGAAGTGCGAGACTTTTGCGAGTCATGCCCTGAATGCCAGAAGGCGGGACCCCGTAATGTGCCAAAGGCCCCCCTGGTGCCCCTCCCGATAATAGACATGCCCTTTGAAAGGATAGCTATGGACATAGTAGGGCCCCTAGACAAGTCAAGGACGGGCCATCAATACATCTTGGTCGTATTGGACTACGCCACGCGGTATCCGGAGGCCGTGCTCCTCTGGAATACGAACGCCTCCACCCTGGCAACAGAATTGATGAAGTTGTTTGCCCGCGTCGGACTGCCCAAGGAGATACTGACCGATCAAGGTACAAATTTTACATCTCGGGTAATGGCGGAATTATGCCGCCTGCTCCAAATTAAAAGTATACGGACTTCAGTGTACCATCCCTAGACCGATGGTCTGGTTGAACGTTTTAATCGGACACTGAAGGGTATGTTACGGAGATTCACAGAACAGGACCCTAGGGACTGGGACACTCTGTTACCCGCGTTATTGTTTGCGGTACGGGAAGCCCCCCAAGCGTCCACAGGGTTCTTGCCTTTTGAATTATTGTATGGACGGCAACCGAGGGGTATTCTCGATGTAATCAAGGAAAGGTGGGAGGACCAGGAGACCCGGGTACGGGGGTCGGTACAATATATCCTAAAATTGAGGCAAAAGTTGCGGACCCTAGCGGATGTGGCTAGGAACAACCTAGAAAGTGCTCAGGAAACCCAAGCCCTATATTATAACCGGGGAGCACGCCTCAGAGTTTTCGAGCCAGGGCAGCGGGTCCTGCTATTACTCCCGACCCCGGGTTCAAAACTGGTAGCTAAGTGGCAGGGGCCCTTTGAAGTGGTGAGACGCGTCGGGGAGGTCAATTACGAGGTCAAGTTAACGGGAAGGTCGGGAGGTACCAAGGTGTACCATGTAAACTTATTAAAGGCCTGGAAAGAACGGGAGACATTGTTTATAAACCCCCTCCCCCGGACCCAGAGCTGGGTCCAGGAGAGGAGGGCCAGGCCACCCCAGGTCTCTTGCAGATGGGAGCTGACCTCACCCCTGAACAACAGACGGACCTGGAGAACTTGCTGAGCCACTTCCCGGACGTGATGACAGACAAACCAGGTCACACCGCTCTGGCCCACCACCACATCGAAACCGAGTCACAAAAGAAGGTTCGTCCCCTGCCCCAAAAGATGTGGGAGCTGGTGAAGGAGGAACTGCAGAAGATGATCCAATGGGGTGTGGTGGAAGAGTCGTACAGTGAGTGGCGTAGTCCTATAGTTCTAGTGCCGAAGCCTGACGGGTCGATGAGGTTCTGTATAGATTTCCGCAAAGTGAACGCTCTTTCCCGATTTGACGCTTACCCCATGCCATGGCCACCCTCGATTTGACCCGCGGCTACTGGCAGATACCCTTATCACCAACGTTCCGAGAGAAGACGGCCTTCTCAACCCCCTTTGGGCTGTACCATTTTATTCGGATGCCCTTCGGGCTTCATGGAGCGGCAGCCACCTTTCAGCGGCTTATGGACCGGGTGCTGAAAAGCCACGAACAATACGCCGCGGCATACATCGATGACATAGTCATATACAGTAAGTCCTGGACCGAGCACCTGCACCGAGCACCTGCACTACGTTAAGGCCATATTGCAGGAGCTCTGCCGGGCCGGTCTAACGGCGAACCCCAGGAAGTGCCACATTGGTGAGAAGGAAGTTTCCTATTTAGGCTATACAGTCGGCCGTGGCCAGTTGCGACCCTTGGTGGAGAAAGTGGAGGCGCTTCACACATATCAGCCACCCCGAACCAAGAGGCAGGTCCGTCAGTTTTTGGGGCTGGCCGGCTATTACCGCCGTTTTGGCCCCAATTTTGCGGCAATAGCGGCACCCCTGACAGATCTTACACGGGCCGCCCTTCCCCAAAAAGTACGATGGTCCCCAGAGTGCGAAGAAGCCTTCCACAGGTTGAAAGACTGCCTAACCCGAGCCCCAGTGTTAGCACAGCCCAACTTTAACCATCCCTTCACCCTCTATACGGACGCCTTGGAAAGTGGAATAGGGGTGGTACTGTCACAAGGGGAGGGGCAGACGAACATCCCGTCGTTTATGTCAGCCATAAGCTGTTTACGCGAGAGCGTAAGTACGCAACGATTGAAAAAGAGGCCTTGGCGGTAAAGTGGGCGATTGACCTATTGAGGTACTATCTTTTAGGTAACCGTTTCCGGGTGGTAACAGACCATGCCCCCCTGCGATGGCTACAAACTATGAAGGATGTGAATGCTTGGGTGATGCGCTTGTATTTGACCTTACAGCCCTACGCATTCGAGGTAGCCCACAGGGCTGGCACCCGGCACCAAAACGCAGACTTCTTTTCAAGACGACATGAAGACGAAGAGGACACAGAACCAGGAGTGGTGACTAATTTGAAAAGGGGGGTGTGTGACGGGGCAGCCCCGCCCCGCACCATGAACAACGCTGAACAGGTATGGCATATTGGTGTATGTCCCCGGGTACACACTGCACCTGCACGGGAGGGTATGATATGAAGTTTCTCTGGACCTGCCTTCTCCATCTCTGTTAGGCTGACACAATCTCAACTCCTTTCCTTATCAGATCCCTAAACCCTACTGTTCGAATCACAGAGATAGAAAGTGCGATGAGACCTCAGCTAGAGATAGCAATGGACTCAAATATCTGCTGAACTGATTTTCTTTACATTTGACATGTCTGTAGGTCTCACTGAGACTTCCAATCAAGCCAGATCTGAAGCCTGAGTACTTTAATGGAATTTACAGTAGGTTACCTTATATAAGAAATCCCAGTTTGCATTATGCCGTACATTGTATTTATTTACATAATATATCATATTATGAAGAAAAAAATATATTTCAAGATATATGTTCAAGAGGGCAGAGTTAAGGTTGCCTTTTAGTTTTACTCTGCATTTCTTTACTTCCGAGTAAAGTTTCTCATCCTTACTGTTACATTAATACATGATTCTTTTTCATGGAACATTGCAAACTTCGATGCTACTGGCACTAACTGGGGTGGTCATAATAATAAAGTTTATCCTCTGATAAAGATTAAAGATGAGAGACTCAATATTTTTCTCAGTTGCAATATAATATAAATGTAAATAACATTGTCTGGTTTGTTTTGTCTGAGTTGTTTTTCATGTGTTAAAATAGTTTACGTTCAAATTCATCATTATACACAAATAAAGTTCAGTTACATTTTTTCTTAATGAAAATCCACTCCGTTCTAATGTTCTAGGGCTATTTACATAAAATATGCACAAACTGTACTTTTATTCATAACTGTATATTTGCCAAATGATTCTAGTTCTGAGCAAGATGAGTTTTAACTAAGCATTATTCTATGTTATTTACAGGCTAGTATTTGAATATTGTCAGAGTTAATGTATTTTTTATTTTTATGTGGCAGAGAAATAGTGTATGTATTCTGTATCTCTGATTATTTTTTATGAAATCCTATTTCTTTCCCTGTTACTGGAAAGAACAAATTAATTACAAGACAATATATATCTAATCATTTCAAGTAGCATATAAAATAAATGGGTGCTGTATGTGTAGACGTGAAACGGTTTGCTTTTGGATGAGATATAAAACTGACATCTTGGCCACTTGTGGTCATTAAAAATCTCATGGCACTTTTTACAAGAGTAGAGGTGAAACCTGAAGTGTCATGAACTACATTCCAGTTAGATAATGACATTGTGTTTACTTAAATCCCCAGCGGCTTGTGATTTTCATTTTTTTTCTTGTGAATTGCTGTACACTGTCCTGCTTAAGGGCTCTTGATTTCCACTCCAGTGGAAATTCCTTATCCCAGTGTGTTTCAATAAGGAGAGATGTGATCTCTGTATCTCTAATTAGCAATCAGGTTTCTTAAAGTTTCTCAAGTGCTGCATAAATGGAACTATATACGGTGCTATATAAAAGTCAGTCCTTCAGTTCATCCTTTCTACATCTCTGAACCTTATGAACCACACCACATTGTCACCACATTTGAGGTTTAATGCTTGAATTTGTAAAAGAAACCGTTTACAGAAAATACAATACAAGAAATAAAAGTTATTTTTGTAAAAGTTCTTTTGTGATATACCATGGTAGCTAAGAGAGAAGTCCTCTGGAATTAGGCATTAAATTTGGGTTTCAATTGCCAACTTATAGCACAGAGAATAATGAAAATGTGTATGTAATTGTAAATAAAAAGACTTCTATGGTAAGAGCCATTGAAGCTATAGTGATTTACTCCTGCTGAGGAACTGGCTCTACATATATATTGTATAGCACCTGTGGGTCTCAGAATGTTTTGCAAACATGGTTATATTAAAGGTAGATTCATTCAGTGTGACAGGGGCCATGGAGGGTCCACAGTGACCCATAACTACTGTACTATATTTTCATGGAGTTAGGCAGCTGAAGAGCTGCTGTACAGGGCTAACCAAAATAGAGAGGACCATTTAGCAACACGACAAGGGAGTTGTGGAGTTACACAATCAACTCCAAAAACAACAAAGCAACTCCAAACCTTTGCATGTATGGGTAGCAGACCTCCTTTCCAGCCTCAGAACTTGAATAACAGCTGCAGACAGGATTCGGAACTACCTCGGGACTGAGCTTCATGCTAGAATGGCTTCTGTCTGCCATTACTTTGGGTATGTCTGTACTACCACCCTAGTTCGAACTAGGGTGGTAATGTAGGCAACCGGAGTTGCAAATGAAGCCCGGGATTTGAATTTCCTGGGCTTCATTTGCATAAAGCCGGGCGCCGCCATTTTTAAATGTCCGCTAGTGCATTGATATAGAAATCCAACATGGTCTGAGCATTGCCAGTGCAGCCTTTGCTTGTTTATGGCACAGAGTTTTTGAAGATCATGACATTCGAACAGACACCAAACTTCTTGTACATCAAGCCATCATTCTCCCAGCACTATTGTATGGGTCTGAAACCTGAACAACCTACAGACATCACTGTACCTGGCACAGTGCATGCTTACTCAGGACTCCCTCATACAGGAAGAAAATGGGTGTATGATTTTAACCCTAAATACAACCTCTCCTCACCTCAGTTTTACCTTTTTAAAATAAATAATAGCTGCAGACTGTGGATTGTGGGGTTGATTCCATGCTAAGGATGTTAAGGACTAGTCGACTAATCCAGTTGACTAGTCAATTCCTCCCTTCCTTGCTGCCTCTATCAGATAGAGGCAACAAAGGGGGGGCAGAATAGGGGGTACTTCAAAGTGGCAGTGCCACATGGAGCTGACCCCAGGCTCCATGCGGTGCTGCCCCTTTGAAACTCTGGGGCAGCATTTCAAAGGGGCAGCGCTGCAAGGAGCCCAGGGTCAGCTAGGGAGTCCCCATCTGATCCCAGGCTCTGTGTGGTGCTGCTGCTTTGAAATGCCAAGTGGAGCCCGGGATCAGCTGGGCTCTGCGTGGCATTTCCATGGAACCCAGGATCAGCTGGGGACTCTCCATCTGATCCTGGGCTCCATGCGTCATTTCCACAGAACCCAGAGTCATCCCCAGCTGATCCTGGGTTCCTTGGAAAGGCCTCATGGCTCCATGCGGCATTTCAAACAGGCAGTGTCGCATGAAGCCTGGGGTCAGCGTGGGAGTCTGAGTCTACACAGAGTGTCATTGTCAGAATCTGGAAACAGATTGGAGGATTTCTGATTCCAAGTTCCCATTTTTATAACTAAACCACATTGTGTTACTCTGTCATGGGACTGATTCCTAGTCATTTGTAAGGGCATTACTAGTAACAGTTCTTGACTTTTGATGCTATTATTTGTATGGTGCAAATGGTCAAAGTTTTGTGATGCTACCCAGTTTCTTGATGCAACCCAATCAACCACTCTTTTATATTCAGTATCTTAGACAATTTAAAACTTCTAATTGAATTTGCAATACAACAGTAATTGACTCATTTCTGTAATAATTCATAGGATCATACATAGAATTAAAAAATACAGAAAATAAGAGAGAATATCTATGCTTAATCAAATGTCCAGCCCAACTCAAAATAGTACATAATATATAATTTACATTTTAATCTTTTTTTGTTCCAGACATGAAATACTGTGAATATTAAACTTAAAAAATTCATAATGATGGTCTCATTTTCTCCAAAGGAATTTAGATAAGTTGTTGAAAGTATGCAGACTTCACTAGTTTATTTTGCTGTACTTGTATATTTTCTTAAGTTTAGAGATCTTTACTTTAAAATATTGTAATGCTAAAAGGGTAGGTTGAGGATGTTTGATTGATAAAATCAGATTTATTTTTTCAGGGAAAAAAATGTCCTAGTTGAAAC